TTTGAGACCCACTTCGGGCTCAGAGCCCGGAGTGTGCTTCAGATTCTGTGTCTCCCTCTCTCTCTCTGTTCCTCCCCCACTCCTGCTCTGTCTCTCAAAATAAATAAATTTTTTAAAAATGTTAAAAAAAAAAACAACCCTTTTTTCCCAAAGGTAAACAGCTGCTGAAATCTGTAATCAGTTCTTTCAGTGTTCCAGCTTTCTTTTCCCTTTGTGCTTCTTGCAGTCTTGCCCTGAAGATGCAGTTAACCAAGGTTTTGAGGAGGGGTTTATACTATCTTTGGGGTTCTCCTTCTATGACTTCTCCATTCTCAGAATGACTTCTCCATTCTCAGATTTTGTCCTCAATTTATAGCCACTCTAGTGACCCCGAACTTGATCTCAGATTTTTCTGCACAGGATGACTCCTACTTTCCCCCAGAAATCTATCCCCTGGGTGCTCCATAAACTACCAGGGCCCACAATGGAATATCTGGATAAATGTAGATCTTATGAAGTGTGGTTTCTTCCTTTTCAAATGTTATATCCACTTAAGTTTTTGCCTCCTTTTGATCACTCGTTAGAGGTGCTTTCCAAAACAAATTGGTCTTTTACAGTTGGTCCACAGTTTATCATACCAGCTGGAAGGTTGTTTTGATACAAACTTCTTTGCCATTACCAGAATCTGGATGTCTAGTTGAGCAGTTTCTCAAACTTTTTAGTCTTGGGACTTGTTAATATTTTTAAATTATTAAGGATTAAAAGAATTTTGTGCATATGTGTATGTGTACCCTATTAGAAATTAAATATTTTTCACCACTCATTTACTAATTCATTTTAATACAATATAAAAATAATAAACTCATTGCATGTTGACATAAAATCATATTTTTACAAAAAATAACTATTTCCCAAAAGAAAAAAAATACTGACAAAAGTGGAATTGTTACATAATTAAAATTTATTTAATATCTTGCTTAATAAACAGCTGATTTTCACATCTGATTCTGCATTCCATTTGTTGCAAAATGTTGTTTGATTTTGAAAATATGAAGAAAACCTTCCTTCATGCATTATATGTAGTTTGAAAGAAAATATTTAAAAAGCCTTCTTAGACTGTCATGGATATTCTTCATTGATACCACACCCAAATGTAATAATTGGTAGTTCCTAAACAATTAGTTGCAATACAGAATCTGAAACCATAGCAATGAACTTTTGTAGACTGTTATGTAAAATCCGATGGTCTATTTAAAAAACTTTTTTTTAATGTTTATTTATTATTGAGAGACAGAGCATGAGCAGGGGAGGGGCAGAGAGAGAGGGAGCCACAGAATCCGAAGCAGGCTCCAGGCCCCAAGCTGTCAGCACAGAGCCCAATGTGGGGCTCGAACTCACAAACCAAGAGATCATGACCTGAGGAAAGTCACTCAACCGACTGAGCCACCCAGGTTCCCCCCAGTGGTCTAATTTAAATGGATATTTTACCCAGGCATTTTTTTGATAATATTATATATTAGTCATTTGGAAAGTAACAGTTCACTAACAGAACATTTTCCAAATTTTGACATATTCTCATATACAATATTACTTGAAAAAATCCATAACCCACATGTGTTAATATCATCACTAACGTCATCAGAAAAGTCTGTTGGGAAGCTGACAAGCGCACAGTAGCAAATACAAGCTTTCCAACATAACAGCCTTTACTTGAAAGCTTGGATTTTATCATTGGTAACAAATATTGGCACAAGTTTTCTCTTGAATTGATAGGTTCACATTGTTCAAGAAAATGTCTACCAGATACCCACATCTGAATAATAGTTTTACTGAAGTAAAAATGCTATTCCACAAAAAGATACAGATATCCCGTTTTTTGAAAGTTTGTGTTATGCCACTTTGTTTTTACTAGAGACCTCCATTCGTACCTGTTTTCACTAACCAAAAGAAATCCAAAGATGATTTTTGCTTTTACAAAAAAAGGTGAAATGCAAAACCAGCTTTCAGTGCTTGTTTTGCAGTAAACTAGCTATAAAGGCACTGCTAAGCTCCTTCCCAGGAATTGCACTCAGCTTCACAGCATCAAGCTACCATAGCTTTGAACTATGGTCTGTGAGCATCTTTGCTTTATCCCAATTTATTTTACACATCCATTAACAAGATGTGTCAGAAAAGCCAAAGACAGGTTATTTTTTAGATCTGGGAACACTTAAGAGTTTTCCCATATAAGTTAATGGTAATTGCTTCTTCACTTTATGCCATCTCAACTTACGAAACATTTCACAGGAACATTTTTTTTGGATATGGTGGGATGGCAGGGGTAGGCCCCTGTTTTCAGTTCTCAGCTCAAATAATTACACCGTCACTTTTCCTTACAAAATATATTATAATTTGATATGCAACAGAAGTGCCTTATGCATACTTCTTTAACTATCACACAGAATATTGAAAATATGTGTACTCGAGGGTGGAGATCTAATAAAAGTGATTTTTTTCTCCTGCTCTATCAAGAACAGTCTTACATGAAACTTTTTCCCTATGAATTAGAAATGTAGTTGTTACTATTATAGATTGGTGCCAGTGTTATGTTGATGTGCCTGCATTTTACCCACTGTATTAATCATTTTTTTATCTTCTATATTTTATGATATTTTGAAACTTTGGAGCGCCTTGCTGGCTGGGGAGAGATTGCCCCTCCTAGAGCTGGCTGATTTCGTAGGGATGGTAAACCACCTGTTGGTGAGCCTACATTTTATATAAAAACCAACCAATCCCAAGTCCATCCCCTCAACCATGTGCTTTATCTAACTCTCACACACTGAGCCAACACTTCCTGTGTCCTAAATCACCCAGGACTAGGTACCATACAACTACAGACGCATAGCCTCCAACACTACTCTAAAAAGCCAATCCTAAACTGTTTCTCCTACCCTGCCTTGCCTTTCCCATGCAAGCAGGTCCCACAAAAGGCTCTCGCATAGGCTTTCCCCTCTCTCCTTTCTGTGTCCTGACCAAGCCTGCTGCTCCTCTATGTGGCCCTACAAGGCATGGTGTGCCCTCTCCTCTAAGGAAATGTAATGAAAATCTCCTTTCAATGAGATTAGCCTATGTCATCACTCAGCCACCTTCATAAATTAAAATTCCATAAGTACAAATGAGACACCCACCTTTAAAAGACAAGGTTGTTATTATTAACAAAAAGAGTTTTGATTTTGTGGACTACCTTCCCAAACTCTCCTGCATAAGGATCTCACGTACTAAGATCCATGTCACACTTCGGGAACTGCTGGTTTAGGCCTTTCTGCTTGTTTTTCATGTCTTTAACATTTCAGTCCTCTTTCTTTTGTTTAGTCTTCTATTTATAGGCATTCTTAAATCTCTCCACAAAAAGAGAAATCATTGTCTAATATTTATCTTCCTCTTAGTTTTCATATTCTTTCCTTTCTTTCCCTGTGCAATGTCTTAACTGTTTCTTGTGCTCAGGCTCATATCCTATTCTCACCATGACACCTGCCATCAAATTTCAAAATCAATATGCTTTGGACCTAGGTGATAGTTTAGTATCACTTCTTTTCAATAAATTTCTTTCCAATAAGTGTCTGTATTCCGTCTCATAGCGCTCAGATTCCTGATACCTACCCACCTTGATTTGGGTGAAAAACACTAACTCATTCTTAACGTATTTCCCAGGTGCCTTCTCACATCTTCATTGCTTTTCTTCCCCCTTATTGCCTGGGAAAATAAATATTTGTTGATAAATGGATTTTATTTCACTGGTCTCTTGTTGTTATGCTTTAAGGATCTTTCTTCATCCTCAGTTCTTGCCTTTGTAAAAGTCCTATCAGCTATAATAATCTGATCCATTCTCAAGTTGTGATTTTCTTGTTTTATGTGAATGGCTTTCAAACACACATTTTCAGCCCACTTCTCCCACCTGAACTCTAGTATCTATTTTCATCTGCCTATAGCAACACAACAACAGTTATCTCATCCTTTTGGTTATTGATATATCATAAATAATAGTCCTTGTGTTTACCTTATCCTTACTTATTTCTATATCCTTTTTTCCCCATAGTCAGTCTCTTGTAGTATCAGGTTGATTCCATCACCTCTGCTACACTTGATCTCTCCACAATTTGTGTTATTTCACTTTGTGAAATATCTTTACATCCTCTCATATCCTCATTTGCTACTGACCTCTTCCAAAATGAGAGCATATTATTTCAGTAACTTCTGTAATTACTATTTGGATTTGCCATCATTTTTACCCACTTCTTTCAGTTTATATTGTCAATATGCCAAAAAGAAATTACTTATTATATGAAATTTAAATCCCTTCTTTTTCAAGGGCTGATAGAAGAATACCCCATCTGATCACTCCAAATTTCTCTCTCTCTGTGACTGAGAACTCTAGCTCATCTCTCTTTGTTCTAGTCTCCCAGATATACTTCATACAATTGATTTCATTCCTCACAACTGGACTTTTCATTATATGACAGCTGCTATATACCCATATAGATACTTGCAGTTATCCAACTACAAAGGTAGAGGGTACAGTAGTACACACAAGACCACCTTACTTCTGACACCAACTATAAGTTTGGGGGTCCCCAAGACTACTGCTAATATAAACAATATGCTATAAGGACTCACAGACCTTACTAAAAGCCATAGTACTCACAGTTATGGTTTATCACAGAAGAAAAAAATATAGATTATAATCATCCAGACATAAAGGGCAGAATCCAGGAAAGTACCAAACATGAAGCTTCTGGTAAACCTCTCTCTATGGAGTCACAGACAGCATTACCTTGCTGGTGTGACAATACGTACAGAATATTGCCAACCAGGGAAGCTTCACCTGAGCCCATTGTCCAGAGTTCATACTGAGGCTCCATCACATAGGCATGATTAACAATACATGTAGCCCATCTCAGTTTTCAGCCCCTTAAGAAGTCGAGCTAATACTGTGTGACCTAAAACCCCCACCCTAAATCACAATGTTGGTGTGGCTCAAAGACCTCACCCTAAATTACATTGTTACTTTCTGGCTGGCCAAAGGTTCCCAGGCAAACAAATACATATTCCAAGGGCTTAGAGATTACTTCCCAGAAGCCAAAGGCAAATGTCAGATGTCTCTTTGAGCAAAGTTATATTCTTTACTATATCATTCAGTTAAAAGATCAAGTTTCACTTCCTCCATGAGATGTTCCTTGACTCCTCCAGACCATGTCAATTCCTTTTTTGCTGCATTCATATTCTACTTATGTATGTAAACTATAAACAGATGCATCCTCTGGTATGATCAAACTTCTTTCCCCATCTGATTAACAATTCCCTCAAATAAGTTTCTCTCTTTTACTTTTCCTTACTGTAGCTTGTAACAAAGGCTAGATATTCAATAGTTACCTCTCTTTGATACCATGCAAGGAAAACATCTTTCTCATCCATTCAGAAATCATTTAATGATTAAGTTCTTTTAAATATACATGCCAAGATCACATCCCTTTATCTCAGATAACCATGTGTTAACGTATACTCAGAAAATAGTCAATAAAATATTGACTTCCAAGATCATAAGTTTTAGTTGGCAAGGCAATATTATCAAATGGAGCATTTTACATATAATATTCATATTAAAATAGCAGGTTGTTAAAAGATTTCTTTAAAATTTTTTTAATGTTTATTTATTTTTGAGAGAGAAAGAGACAGCATGAGTGGGTGAGGGACAGAGAGGGAGACACAGAATATGAATCAGGCTCCAGGCTCTGAGCTGTTGGCACAGAGCCCGACGCAGGGCTTGAACTCACAAGCTGTGAGATCATGACCTGAGCCGAAGTCAGACACTTAACTGACTGAGCCACCAAGGTGCCCCTAAAAGATTTCTTTAAATGGATGGTCCAGACTATAATTATAATCTAATTTCAGACAAATTAGACATTAAAGGATAGAAATAATATATGAAGGTTTTTGGATAAATTGGATAGTAGCATGTCCCTGAAGGTGGTTGAGGTTCTCAGGAAGATGATATAACTCCAGTTACTAATACAGATTAGTTTCAGTGTGTTCTAGAATTACACATGAATGGAATTGTATAATATATACTCTTTCGCATAAAGTTTTCACTCTGAAAAATGTTTGAGATTCATCTGTTTTGTCATTGTGTATCACTAGGTGTTTTTCCCTTTTTATTGCTGAATAGTATTCCATTTTATACATACATGACACAATATTACCATTTACCTTTTGATGGATACTTGGGCAGTTACCAGTTAAGGGCTATTTGTAAATAAGACGCAAGTCACGGGTAAAATGAATCCATATTTAAAATTACCCTACTAGACGTGGGTGGTAGTAAGGTAACAATAATAAGATATAGCCAAAATTTTACAAGAAAAATGATAGTGAGGGTAAGTCAGCATTATAAGCATACAGTTGAAGAATCCAGTCATTCATATCCCCCATAGGGAGTAGTGTAGTTAAGGTATGTTACTGCATTGGGAGGAAAACTTAAACTCCTCCTTCCTGAAAACTGAAAAATAATTCAGCAAATGAAAGGAGGAAAAGTTAGAATTGATGGTCAGGAGAATTTAGTATAATAAACATTCTGGCAGCAGCAGTCAGCATACAATGGTGATTATATTCACATTTCAAGTATGCTTTGTCCTCTGGTTTATTTTACAATTCCTAATGGAAATACATTTCCCAAAGTCTTTCCTTTCCAGAGAAAATAAGTTGTGTGGAGAGTTAGGGCCTAGTGTTCCTCTCAACACTAGGAAATAAGTGCTTGAGAAAAGTCATTTGCAAGAGAGGAAGAAACAAATGGAAGTATTTTATAATACTTATTTAGGCATAAGGGAATAAATATTTAGGCTTTCATCTCTAACTGAACATTTTTCTTGATCACTGGTTAGTACCCTTGATAAGCTCACACCATTATTTCTGAATCTGCCCATTTCAAGAACAGTGTCATTTTCATCATCCTTTGTCTTCTGTTTACTTATCCTTGTGTTTATTATACCTGCTTAACGCAGGTATTGTATTTATAATATGCCAAAAATTTGAGTGTTCTTTTTATTTTAAGTTTATTTTGAGAGAAAGGAATGTTGGGGGGGGGGGGCAGGGGAAGGGCAGAGAGGAAGAAACCCAAGCAGGCTCTCCACTGCCAGTGTGCACAACTCACAACTGTGAGATCACCACCTGAGCCAAAATCAAGAGTCTGACACCTAACCGACTAAGCCACCCAGGTGCCCCATGAGTGTTCTTTTCTTACGCCAATTTTTCCACATTTTAACAGTATGGCAGGATTTGGTTTATGTCATATGAATTTTCCCTACCAAGAGGTAATTTATTTTGGCCTTTCTGTAGACCACAATAGTGAGGCATACAGTCACTCAATAGGTTGTTTGTATATACTTTCAATCCATAACATTTATGTGAAGACTTACAGTGTTATTAATTGTATTCTTTTCTAGAAGAAGATGGGAAAGCTGAAGATGTTTTAGTGAAGTTCAAAGAATACCAAGACAGGCATTCTAGATCAGTCATATTCAACCACAAAAGACTAATTAAGGAAAGAAGTAATATTTTTGGGAAAACACTTACTATAGGCAAGAACTGTATTATTTCAAAAACAACACTATGTGAATATAAGCCTGATGGAAAGGTTTTTAAAAATATTTCAGAATTAGTCAGTAGAAGTATAAGCCCTGGAAGAGAGAAGTTTGGTGAGAGTAATGGATGGGAGAAATCACTCCTCAATTCTAAGAATGAGAAAATTCATACTACAGTGAATCTCTATAAACAAACAGAAAGGAGTGTGAGTGGTAAACAAGAGCTTATTCAACATCAGAAGGATCAAACTCCAGAGCAATCATTAGATCATAATGAATGTGAAAAATCCTTCCTTATGAAAGGAATGTTATTTACACATACTAGGGCTCACAGAGGAGAAAAATCCCTTGAATACAATAAAGATGGAATAGCCCTAATTGAAAAGTCAAATCTCAGTGTCCATTCACAAACTCTTATTGAGAAGAAACCCCATACATACAGCAAATATGGGAAGTTCCTCTGCAGGAAGTCCATTTTTATCATGCATCAGAGATCTCAAACAGAAGAGAAACCCTTTCAGTGTCCTTACTGTGGGAACAGCTTTAGAAGGAAGTCATATCTCATTGAACATCAACGAATTCACACAGGTGAGAAACCTTATGTTTGCAATCAATGTGGAAAAGCCTTCCGTCAAAAAACAGCCCTCACTCTTCATGAGAAAACACATATAGAGGGGAAACCCTATATCTGTATGGATTGTGGGAAGTCCTTCCGCCAGAAGGCAACTCTCACTAGACATCACAAAACACATACAGGGGAGAAAGCCTATGAATGTACTCAGTGTGGAAGTGCTTTTAGAAAGAAGTCATACCTCATTGATCATCAGAGAACTCACACAGGAGAGAAACCATATCAATGTAATGAATGTGGGAAGGCATTTATCCAGAAGACAACCCTCACTGTACATCAGAGAACTCACACAGGAGAGAAACCCTATATTTGCAATGAATGTGGGAAGTCCTTCTGCCAAAAGACAACCCTCACTCTCCATCAAAGAATTCATACAGGGGAAAAACCCTACATTTGTAATGAATGTGGGAAGTCCTTCCGCCAGAAGGCAATCCTCACTGTTCATCAGAGGATACATACAGGAGAGAAATCCAATGGATGTCCTCAGTGTGGGAAAGCCTTTAGTAGGAAATCAAACCTCATTCGCCACCAGAAAACTCACACAGGAGAGAAACCATATGAATGTAAAGAATGTGGGAAGTTCTTCAGTTGTAAGTCAAACCTCATTGTACATCAGAAAACTCACAAGGTAGAAACCATGGGAATTCAGTAAAGGATACGACTTTTTTGTCAAACCTTAAAGTAATAGTAAACTTTAAATAAAATAGTACATGGTGTTGCTTGCAACTATATTGGTATATAACAGTTTAAGGTACTATACCACATATTTGCCTATCGTTTGTGAGCCTATAAAACACAAAAAGAATGACTAATGACAAAAGTCATTGAAAATACAACCCTAAATTTTTTATTATTAGATTCACCAGGCATAAACTTCCTCTGTCAAGTTTCTACAAACATTTAAAATTGCTTATTTTCAATTTCAGTACATATATTCTTGTGACCCAGTAATAAACAGTTCTGCCAGTGGTCCATGGGCCACACTGTGATCAGAAGTGTTTTAAAAGAAAGGAAGTGTGAACTGTATTTCTCATTGCAAATATGAAGTAAAAATTAGTTGTTACTTCCTCAAAATTTACCACAGTTATGACTTCTAACATCATAAATTAGGTTTTGCATATTATGAACCTTTATATAAATTGGATTATACATCATGTATTCTCTTTATATAAATTGGATTATACATCATATATTGTGTATATGGCTTGTTTCATTCCTCATTATGTCTCTAAAACTCATCATTAGTGCATGTGGCAGAAGTTCATTTATTTCCATTCTATATAGAATTCCATCATATGATTAAATTACAGTTTATCCAACTACTGCTGTGGATTTTTTCATTGTTTACAGCTTAGGATCATAATAAATAGTGCTTCTGTGAACATATTTGTCTTTTGGTGTACATATAGTCATTTCTCATGTGTATATAGTAGAGATGGAATTGCTGGGTCCTAGAGCATATGTATGTTTGGTCAGCTTTGGTAGATCCTACCAAACAACTCAGAATTTTCACAGCATGAGTTAATTCTCTCTGAAGGAAAACAACTGTGAATGTTAGCAATATGGTGGTGGTTCCAACCAGAGAATTCATGCTAGAGGGAAACTACAAATGTGGAAACTGAGAATCCAAATATAATGCATGTACAAAGACTTTTAGCCACAGCCTAAAATAATAATATCAAACAAATGTAATAAATGTGAGATTGCCTCTAGCCACAGTAATGCCATATTTGAAATAAAAAATCATACTAAGGCAAGGAAGGCTCCTAGCATGCTTTCTTGCATTAGAGAGTTTTAACTGGAGAAAACCCCTACGAGTACAGTAAAGGGGACAGGAGATAGCTTTTACCTATGTCATGTATCTTGTTGGATATATAAAAATCATGAATATGGAAAAGCTTATAGCCATAGTTCAAATCATACACAACACCATGGAATTCACATTGAATGAGAACTCTTTAAATGAAATGGTCATAAGCATGACTTTAGTCATAGCTCACTCCTTATATAACATCAAAGAATTTATACTAAAGAAAGGGATATTAAAAAGGGACAGGATGAGGCTTGGAACTCTAACTCTGGGAAAAACTGCTTCCATGAAAGAAGTCTAACCAAACTGAGATCGTAATGCTAGAAAGTCTATATGTAGGCACCTGGTCAATAGCTCCAGCTAACCTCCCAGCCATCATCCAGTAACACATGTCAACTATATGAATAAGCCATCTGGGACATCTAATCACGTCTTCAGATGACTGTAGCCTCTGCTAACACCCAACTGGAACCACCAGAAGGACCCTAAGCAAGAATTGCTCAGCTAAATCCTTTTCAGATTCCTGCCCCACAAAATGGTTACATTTTAAAAATTAAATTTGATTGATTAAAAGAAAAAAAATCTACCATTTGCAACTACGTGGATGGAACTGGAGGGTATTATGCTAAGCGAAATTAGAGAAAGACAAATATATGACTTCACTCATATGAGGACTTTAAGATACAAAACACGAACATAAGGGAAGGGAAGCAAAAATAATATAAAAACAGGGAGGGGGACAAAACATTAAAGACTCTTAAATATGGAGGACAAACAGAGGGTTACTGGAGGGGTTGTGGGAGGGGGGACGGGCTAAATGGGCAAGGGGCATTAAGGAATCTACTCCTGAAATCATTGTTGCACTATGTGCTAACTAACTTGGATGTAAATTAAAAAAATAAATTAAATTTAAAAAAATCTAGGAGTATCTGTTATAAAAATAATGGTATGTATATTTGGATTTGGAGTCAATGAACAAAAGCGTGGTGACTACTAGGAGATTTTTGGCATGAAAAAAAAAAACTGATCCTGAAATACAGTTGAAGATTTGGCTGTATTTTTTATTTGCAATTACATACCTGAATAACAACTCACTGAAATGTTCCTATACTATCTTCTTTCTCATTTTCTGGCAGTAAATTATACTTACCAACTTGGTTAGCTTACCTATGCAAATGCATTCTTCACAATTTTGCAAACAAATGAAAATCACCCCAAAAGGCCTACTGTGGGTAATGCAGAGGGAAGCAAGTCTATCTTCAAAAAATCCTGTGCGGAGTCATTTCCCTGAGGTTCCATGAACTAGATGCAGAGAGAAATCAAGATATGGAATCTAATAGATTAGTACAGCCATATCCTTGTGGAAGGTACTTTGAATGCTTTGAAGAAAGTCTAAATGAATTTTGGTTTCTAACAGCTCTTCATATATAAGCTGCTTCTTAGGAAAAGCAGGCCCAGTATTTTATATTTTGGTCTGAAACAGGATTGGGTTATATTCCATACCCCTGTATGAAGATTTCTTTTGAAGAAGTTGGGCACTGCTCTTTTTCATTAATTTTTATGAACATCTTATGAATGAATAAATATATAAAATGAGGACTTTTAAGCTAACTAATCTATATGTGGGTGAATGAAGTTTTGGCAGCCCTTAGGAGTGAACATGATTTTGGAATCCAAGTCCACTTACTCCTAAATACATATACCAGGTTAGGAATTAATTCACAAATTCATATTTTATAGCCCTAACTGCGAGATCATGAGATGAAAGAGAGTTAACATGTGCAAAGGACTGACAAGATTCCACAGAGCACATCCATGTAATGCTTTCATTTAAAAGTAAAGGATGTGACTCACCAAGAGAAAGAAAGGGTAGGTAAGCAATTAGGGAGTCTGAAAATTATCCAGGTGCAAGCTCCTCAGTGTCCTTATTCACACACAGACTGCACTCTATCTCCAGGTTGAACCACTAAGATTTGTGTGACTCTCTACTTCAGGAGAACTCAAGGCAGAATTTCTTTGCATGGGCTTCTATGCCCGTCTGTTCACTGGTTATGTAATCAAGCTAGTCTGTGTAGTCACTTAGAATTATTAAACAAGTTGGTTTTGTGGCCTACAGGGGAACTTTAGACTTTAAATAGCATCTCACCTGTCTCTGCCCTTATCTCAATCCTGGTCAATGCCAGACATCCAAACATCATGAAGATAATGTTAGAGCTTTTCCAACTGTAAATGAACTCCATCTTACAAACATGGTTCCTTCATTTCCTGTGTATTTTCTGGTAATGTGTGTATGTAAATAAACTTGTTACCTTCATTCCTGTCCCCTAGTATCAGAGTATGCACAGTGCATCTCAACTTTGAGTCTTTCTTGCCAGTTAAGGCTTGAATCCCTCCACTCAACTTGTGGTCCAGCAATAGAAACAGGCTTGCCATGCCCTGCCTCAAAAGTAACATGCAATAGCTAAAAACACAGGCGTCAACACTTCTCTAAACATTCACCTAGGATGTTCTACCATCTGAGATATTCATCAGTTTATACTCTGGGACTTTTCAAAACCCTAAATGTGTGACAATACCAAGTACTGAGAGGATCTGGAACAACTGGAACTCTCATACATTGCTAAGGGGAATGAAAAATGATGAAGTCATTCTAGAAAACAATTTGGCAGTTTCTTAAAAAGTTAAACATATACTTCCCATATGACCCAGCAATCCCACTTCTAGATATTTATACCAGAGAAATGAAAATTTATGTTCACACAAAAACCTACACAAGTATCTACAGTATCATTTTAATCACTAAAAACAGTAAATAACCTAAATGTTTTTCAGTGGATAAATAGATATACTTAGAACACCTACATAATGGAACAGTAAACAATAAAAATGAATTTACCCATATTATATGCTAAATTATGCTATATAAATTATGCTATAAATATAAATTATGTATGCTAAAGGAAAGAAACCAGTTTTAAAAAGTCAAAAATTACATACTGTATGATTTCATTTATATGACATTCTGGAAAAGGCAAAAATATAAGGAGAACATATCAGTGGTTGCCAGGGGTTAAGGGTGGGGGGGAAGGTCTGAATAGAAAGGGGGTGCATGAGAGAATTCTCTGAGGTGTTGGAATTGTTTTATAAACTGTTTTTGGGAAACAAATACAAATACAGTAAATATTTACAAATCTATGCACGTGTAAAAAGATCATAGAACTGTGCACGTGCGTGCGCGCACACACACACACACACACACACACACACACACGTGAACTGGAGCAGTGATAACCAGATTGTGGAATAGGAGTTTTTAACACTTGCTCTCAAATAAAAACATTAATATGGGGAACAACCATCCACACTTGAAGTTTTTCATCTTCACAAGAAATAAGAAATCCAAATGACCAATTATAGCATTTGGGAGGAGCACAGAAATAAAAGATGCATTAAAGAGGGTAAAAAGGACAATTTCATACCACCTTCCCCTTCCCCATGCCCTCAATAAACTGTGGAGAACTATGCCCTCCACATAGTGGAAGGAGAGTGAAGAGAGCACCCAACTTTGCCATTGACCCCAGCACCACGCTTCCCAGTGAACCCAGGCTCTAGGCAAGCCCCTGCAGGCCTAAGCTCCAGGCCTGCACCAGTGCCAGGCTAGCCTCTAGGACCCAGACTCCAGGTCCACCACTATGGCTCAGGATCCAGGCCTGCCCCTGTGGACCCAGACACAAGGCTCCAGTCCAGCCAATACAGACAATATCCCAGCCCACTCCAGCACAATACTGGCTCCCACAGATCGAGACATCAGGCTGTACCCATGGTCCCAGGCTCTAGGCCTG